GAATTCATATCTAGCCTCAGACACTTACTAGCTGTATAGCCCTGGGCAAGGCACTTAACGCTTTGTCATCCTCAGTTTCCTCATCTGTAAAATGGGACAATAATGGCACTACCTCCTAGGGTTGTTATGAAGATCAAATGAGATAGTATTTGTAAAGTGTTTTGCAGGCCCCAAAGTGTTATACTAATCATTATTCTTTTCTACTCTATTGGATCTCAAAATGTGGTCTAGGGACCTGGGGATCCCTAAGACCCTTTCAGGGGTTTCTCAAGGTCAAAACTGCTTTCATAATAATACTACGGCATTTTAATTTCTGGATATGGTAAATATTGAAGGATATTACCATGGGTGTGCTGGAGCTAGTAAATATTGACTCACAAGAGCCAATTGTTAAATTTTCAGTCTGAGCATTTATAATTTGGAAATCAGCCAACATTACAAATCAGGGCTTGATTTATTGTTTTATTGATTGTCCAGGTTAAGAAAGTGATGGGGGAAAATATTAATCACTCAGATTAAACTTAGAAACACATTGTGCCTACGTTTCTCCCCCTGGAGAGCTGGTTGTTAAATATTTATCAGCACATCCCAGGATATAACCTATATAAACAAAAGCTCTTTGAGAGTCTTCAAAATTTTTTTTTTTGGTGTAAAGGCATCTTGACACAAAAATGTTTGGGAACTGCTGAGCTAGTCCAATCCCTTCTTTTTTACAGTTGAGAAAACTACGATCCAGCAGTCATTGACCCAGGGTCACCCAGAATCTCAGTTGGAAGGGACCTCAGAGGTCAGCAAGGATTGTAATTGAACACGAGTCCACCATGCAGAGAACCTGACAAATACTTTTCCAGCCTTTGTTTGAAGACTTCTAGTAGGAGAGAACCTACTAAGCTGGGTAATCAGTGGCAAGGTCTGGATTTGAACCCAAGGATTTTGACTCCAGGCCCAAGGCTTTTATATTTGTTTGACCACATCATACTAGGGGGTTGGGACAGCTAGGTGGTGCAATGGATAGAGCCAGGCTTGGTATCAGAAAGACTTATCTTCCTGAGTTCAAATCTACCCTCAGACATTTACTAGCTGTATGACCCTGGGCAAGTCACTTAATCCTGTTTGCCTCAGTTTCCTCATCTGTAAAATGAGCTGGAGAAGGAGATGGCAGGCCACTCCAGTATCTTTGCCAAGAAAACCCCAAATGAGGTCACAAAGACTTGGACCCAACTGAACAACAACAACTAGGATGTTGGTTGATGGCTTATTATGAACCCCTGAGGTCAAGTCTGAGCTCTACTTACGCTTATCCTTCTGGAAATCAGAAAGTTATAATCCCAGCTCCAGCAGCTACAGCATCATAATGCCATTTCTGGGGTGATTTGGATCCAGTTGTCAGTCAATGTCCCATATTTCTGGATGTATCTGAATGTGCCTTTTTCACTTGGCCATGGCTCTCAAGGAAGAAGCTATAGAGTAAAGTCATAGAGGAAAGCACTCATCTATGTCTCCCTTACAGGGAATTCTGGGGTCTCTTCCACAAGAAGGAGTCATCCCTGGGAAATGCAAATCCAAGGACCCTTTCCTGTTCTTGGATGTTGCTTAAGATTCCAAAGATCCCTTGAACTTGAGTGCAGTAGAAAAGGGTAGAATGTTGTCACCCTCTGACATGGTCCAAGTCTGAGGATGCTGAGTCCTGATCCCAAACACTACCCATCCTGTCAGAGTCATAACTAGGAATTCTGGCACCTAGAGTGGAGACCATTTCCCAGACAGTGGAGCCAGTTCCACTCATAGGGGTTGGTAGGAGAAACCAGTTGCTGGGAAAGTCGGAATGTCCAATTGCCTCTCCTTGACCTCCATTTCAAGTGAGTCTACTCCCTTGTTTTCCTGGGGCCCACCTCCATTCCTGCTGGGATGCAGAAATAGCAGTCTTCAGACCTCAGTGGGAAAGAAGTATGCCATTCTAAATGCTGGCATCTGGGTAAAATCCCCTTTAGCCCTGCCCTATTTATAGCGCTACCTACTAGAGCTAAATTAGGTTCAACTCTACGTTTCATGTCTAGCAGGCTCTGCCTTGGCATTTATTCTTGAGTTTGGGCTATTGTTGAAGAAAGCCAGGATACGAGGGTAAGATTAACACAGGAGATAGGCTATACAGTCCAGTGTCCTTGCTTGTATCCATGAGAACTAGTGGGAAATAGAATGTTTCCAATGACATTTTTCCTAATAAGATATACATTCCCACCCATTTTCCAGGCCAGTGGATCTAATCACAGAAAGTAGGGGGCAGATAACAGAGGTGATGAGGTTTTAATGAAGTACAAAGATCTGTACATATAGATACTCAGTTATCCCTTTAAGAAGTGTGAAGAAGTTTCAGGGTTGGAAATGGAAGGATAGCTTGTCATTAACTGTTTGAAGATTGACACACTACAGGTGGCCTTTGAAAAATTAAGTGTCCCAGCATTATAGGCAAATGGGACGATTAAAGCAAGGAAGGAACTTCATGCACTGAGACCTCTGAAACTACCAGGAAGCAACAAGAAGTGGGAGGGAAATGTTTTTCTCCCTTTCTCCAATGATAATGGTGCTACCTGCCCAGTAGGAGACATTCTCTCCAGTAGTGAGTGAGTGAGTGAGTGAGTGAGTGAGTGAGTGAGTGTGTGTGTGCACATGTGTGAGTGTGTGTATGTATGTGTAAGAGAGACAGACATTGACAGCTACAAAGGCGGGAAGCAGCCTCAAGGAGCATGTCTTCTGGCAGCAGAGAAGAGGGATGATGAAGGATTCAAAAGAAAACTAGCTCTGGCAGTCAAGAGTCAGGTTGCAGGGGAAAAAAAAACAGATGCAAGGAGCACAGCTAAGCAGCCTACCTATATAGCCCAGTGGTTAGAATGCTGGGGTCTGGAATCAGGAAGATCTGAGTTCAAATGTGGCCTCAGACACTTGGGAAAATCACTTAATCTCTGATGGCCTTAGTTTCCTCATAAAATGGGAATAATAAAAGCACCTACCTCCTAGGGTTGTTGTAAGGATCAATGAGATAATAATTGTATTATTATTATTATTATTATTACCCAATAGAGATACTCTACTCAGGAGGAACAGCCTAAAGTCACCGTAAGAGAGGATGTTGTCCTATTAGAGTCATGAATTATCTTGGCCACAAATGTTTTCCCTAAATGTGTATTAGCCTATTATTGTGTAGTAGCCTACCAGCCTACTCTAAGTTTGTGCCCACTCTTCCACTGATGCTGTGTACTTGCGGAAGTGTGTGCCCCAGGTGTATGGAGGGAGTATTGTGTAGCTACTATTCTTACTATGCCATCTTAATAAATGCCTTTGCTTTGAGGAAATTGTGTCTGCTTCATGACTGTTAAAGCTAAGTGCACTGGTTGGGGCTTGTGAGCTACACTTTTAGTGGTACAGACTCACCTTTGGACCCTAGATGCAGTCACCTTTCAAGGACTCAACTCAAAAGTACAAGTTGGGGGGCAGTAGCTCCCAGAGGGGTGCTTTAAAAGTGACTATATAGCTGGGTCATTATATCCCTGGAAAGATGGTAGGCAAACTGTAATCCAGTTTGTTATTTTTCTGCATTTCTGTCTCTTAAAATCTGCCTCTATCCTCACTTTAATGAGGAGGCAGTCTGAAATGCAACAGAAGTTTGGGAGCCTTCAAAGGTTTAATCTCCCAAAAAAGAAAAAAAAGGGTGAAAGACAAATGAGGAGAGAGCAAGGGAGGGGGTGGCTTTGCATCACTCATCAGTGCCGTGCAGACTTTATCTTCTGTAAAGCCATCACTGAAGGATGAATTAGCAGGTCCTTGGCCATTGCAGTCCTCTGATAATGTCAGCAGTGAGAGATCACCCTGGGATTTGTTGGCACAGAGCACATGCCGCCAGCTCCTGCAGCTTCTGCTGCCCTGGAGTTTGCCTCTGCAACGGGTCAGCCTTTTCTTGGGGCCAGGGAGCTGTCCAGGAGCAGTGAAGCTGCCATCCCAGTGTCTTGGGCAGAGGGAATGTCAAAGAACATCTCCTACCCTTTCCCCAGTTTTTAGTATTCTCTTCCTTTTGCAATAACTTTGACTTTGTAAGTGTTGGGTGTTTACTTCTCTGTGTGCCTATTGGATTCTCAGGGACAAAATGAACTTTCTGAGAGCAAAAATGTTTTTTTTTTGTCTTTCTATTCTCAGCACTGTCCCAGTCCCTTGCACATGTACATAGTACACGAAGAAAGCACTGTATTTACTTTATGTGTGTATATTATTTCCCCCAATAGAATGTAATCTCCTTGAGGACAGGGACGCTCTTGTCTCTATCCAGAGTACCCAGCTCAATGCCTCATATCTAGTAAATACTTAATAACAGCTTATTGAATGTAAGTGCTTAATAATTGCTTATTGAAAGGATGAATGAATGAACCATAGAGATGTTATATAATAGTAATAATTACTAAAACAAAGTGAGCATGTGAGAGTCCCTTAATCTGGACCCAGACTTGTCTATCTTAGTGGGAAAAGCCACTGTGACCTCATCAAGTGGATCTCTAGTCAATTCTCTGTGATTAATATTATATAAGGGAACAATGGATAATCCTAACTCAGGAATGACCCCCACATTCCTAAAATTTGAGTTTGGTTTGCATCACAGACTCTTCCTCCAGCAGATTCACTTTCCTAGTTCTGCTCTGCTCAGGTGGGTGAGTTCCCAGCAGCTGAGCACACCCCAGCTGATGAGGAGGGCAGGTAGGCTAGCAGTACCCCTCTGCTGGGTAGCGAGCAGCAATCGGTCTGAGATTTAACCTTGACCATGGTCAGTCCACCACACCATGGTGTAAATCCTTTGGCTTCTCAGACTCTCCTTCAATGACCCTGGTCTAACTCCTTACCATCTTTGGTTCCTTTGTTTTGCAGGTTCCCTGGATGAGAAAAAGCTGAAGGTGGCTCCCAGCCCACCTTCTCTGTAAGCTCAGGCGTGGGGCCCTTGGGGCCCTTGGGGGTCACCAATGCCGAAGAACAGCAAAGTAACACAGCGGGAGCACAGTAATGAACATGTCACTGAGTCTGTGGCCGACCTGCTGGCCCACGAGGAGCCAGTGGACTATAAGCACAGTGTCCTGAATATGGCCGGAGAGACCCAAGACAAACAGAAGGATGTGGAGGAAGACCTGGAGGCTGAGGATCGGCCTGCCTGGAACAGTAAGCTGCAGTACATCCTGGCACAGATCGGCTTCTCGGTGGGCCTGGGCAATGTCTGGAGGTTTCCATACTTATGCCAGAAAAATGGCGGAGGTAAGAGGCAGCCTTGGGTGTACAGGGGGGTGGCTTTAGATGATTGCTGCTGTTCAAAGGGCAGAAAACTGCTCAAACTTTATGTGTTCAATGTGGACATCAGCATCTTCTCCCTTAAGCCCTCCCCTCCCCCATATTTCCTAGAGAGCACCCCCATCCTTCCACTCACTTGGATGACTTCAGAGTAATCCTTGGCTCTTCCCAGTCAACCCCCATATCCAGTTACCAAGTCTTGACTTCCCCTGTATATCCATCCCTTTCTTTTCACTCACTTGGTCACCAACCCGGTCCAGGTTCTAATTACCTTTTAAGGGCTCTTTTTAACCCTCCTAATTGGCCTTCCTACTCCCAGACTCTCCTGTTAGATTACTTTCCACACAGCTGCCCAAGTCGTCTTCCTCAAGCCCTGGGTCTGGCCTTGTCACTACTCTGCCCTCACATACCTACTCGTCTTTTTCTCGGCTTCCAATGCCTATAAGAGAAAATCAAAACTCCTTAGCCTGGCTTTTCAAGTCCTCTTTAGTCTGGTTCCCATCTGTCTTTCCCACCATATTTTGTATTACTTCCTATATTCAATCTGTTCCCTGACCTTGACACTGTATCTCCCACCTGTGTGCAGTTGGACAGGCAGTCCCTCATGCCTGAAATATATTCCTTCCCCATCTTTACCTCCCAGAATCTTTGTCTTCAAGGCCCAAATGCCATCTTCACCATAGAAACTAGCTTGATTTTCTCCTCTATCCCATTGCTTTTTCCCTCCTCAATTGACCTTGAATTACACTTAGCTTTGTACATATTGTATTCCTCTCCCTACTAAACTGCAAGATTCCTGAGGGCAGAAAAGACCTTTTTATCTTTTTCTGCTCTGGGCTTGGTACAATGTCTTGCACATGTGTGTGTGTTTAGTTGTTTTCAGTTGTGGCCAACTCTTCGTGACCTCCTTTGGGGATCTCTTGGCAATGATACCAAACTGGTTCGCCACTTCCTTCTCCAGCTTATTTTACGGTTGAGGAAACTGAGGCAAATAAGGTTAAGTGATTTGTCCAGGGTCACACAGCTAGAAGTGTCTGAGGCCAGATCTGAACACAAGTCTTCCTAATGCCCAGCACTCTAACCACTGTGCACCTAACTCCCTTCTCTCGCACGTAGTAAGTATTTAACAAATATTTACCGATTGATTGAAATAGACTGCTCTAAACAAGGATGTGGTGGCGGTTAAACTGTTCCTCCAAGGGAACACATATGTAAGACATGCTTTTAAATTTAATCTCTATTGTTAATATTCTCTTCCTCTCTTTCTTAAGTCTAGAAAATCAGCAAAACAATAAATCAAGCCTTGATTTGTAGAGTTTGCAGATTTCCAAGGTGTAAACACTCACACTTCATTTAATATCAAGAAAGGGTGTGGACTGCCAGTACCAAACTAGCTTTAGGGTACTAAAAAGCAAAATAATAATATCGATGCTAAGATCAGCTTATATTATATTATATACTATATATTATATAGTATATATTATATAGTATATAGTATATATTTTATAGTATATATTATATACTAGTATATATTATATAGTACATAGTATATAGTAAGGACTATGTGCCACTCACTGTGCTAAGCACTTCACAATTATTCTCTCATTTGATCCTTACAGCCCCGGGAAGTGGGTGCTATTATTATTCTAATTCTACAGATGAGGAAACTGAGGCAAACAGAGGTTTTTAACTTGCTCAGGGTCACACTGACATCTTTCTGACTCCAGACCCAGTGCTTAAAGAACTTATAAGGATGAAGAAGCATTTTGGCAGGAGAATTGTCATTCTGTGGTTTGTGGATATGGTTATTCCAGTAAAACCTCAGTTAGCTAGAGCCCTTGGGATTTTTTTTCTGCTCTCCATTTCTGTGAGAAAGAGATACATGACAAGAGAACAAGCTGAAACCAAGGTTTTATTTCAAGATCAGTTCCCAGGTATGTCTTAGACTTAGATCACAATAACTACCCACAGAGGCATGACACCCGAAGGTGTACAGTAGGGTTTTTTTCTCACAATAATACCATGAAGTTAGTGGGACAAATATGCTTATACCCATTTTACAGATGAGGTTACTGAGCTTCAGAAAGGGTTAAGCGACTTGTTCATGGCTACTCAACTCCTATTAGAGGTAAGGCTTGAACCAAGGTCTCCTAATTTCAATTCTACCACTTTTCCTACAAATGCACAATGCCGCTCTATTTTCCTAGAAAGCCTTTATCTTCTATATTTATTCCTATGGTCCTATGTTTTCACTGAACAAATATTTATTGACTATTAATAATTGTGAGCCACTATACCAGCTGCTGAGGGGGAAGGAAGGAATAAGAAAGAGGAAGACATAGTTCCCACAGTCCTGTGGATTATAGTATAGTTGGGGAGATAAGCTAAGTATTTTGTAAACCTTAAAGTGCTAAGTACATGTCTTATTATTCAGGGATAGGCTGATAAATGTTTAACCACAAATTCTCTCAGGGTAAAGGGAGGAGGAAGGATGGTATGCAGGGCACACTTCTAAATTTAATCTGGATTATTAACATTTTATTCATCACTTTCTTAAGTCCAGAAATCAACAGAATAACAAATTAAGCCCAGATTTGTAGCATTTGCCAACTTCTGAGGTGTAAATGCTCACATGGAAAATCTAACAGCTGGCTCTTGAGAGCCAGTACAAGTTGGATTAATAACTATAATTCAAGGTAAAATGCGAAGGTTTGATAAAAGAGGTACAAATATCATGAGATCACAGTAACAGATCACTTCCAGAATTTTTTTTATTTTTTTGGGAGAAAGGAGGGGGGGATGAAATCAGGGAAGACTTCATGGGGAAAATGTCTTTGGAATCAGACCTTGAAGGAACATCATTAGTGTTCAAAATAATGACTCCAATGTATACTGCAAGGTTCTAAATCATCAAAGAAGATATCCTGTCCAGTATGCTTTACTTGGCTTCATGGCATGGGGAATGGAGGGCTGACCTCAGTCAAGAGGGTCTGGGTTCAATTTCAGCCTCTGACCATATTGGCTGTGTGACTCTAGGCACATCTCCTAATCTCTCACTGTCTTTGACAACTCTCTAATAGACCAAAAGTTAAGGAGGAAATAAAGAGACTTCATTACCTCGAGCTCCCTATGCTGATGAAATCTCAGGTCTGGTAAAACAATAACAACAACAACAACAACAACAAAAAGCAAACTATGTTAAGACAGGAAAAGCTACAAATATATTTTCTTTAAGAAAAAAAGTAGAGATTTTATTTTTTCTAATTTAATTTATTTCAGTTATACTACCCCTCCTGCCTTAAAAAACAAATGCACTTTCAAAAGATTTCCAGCAAGAGTTGAAACTAAAGGGCCCTGTGATTAACCAGAATATTCCCAAACACTTTCCTGATCTCTGTTAAAAGTCACCACTCCCCCACAACACTCTCTCTCTCTCTCTCTCTCTCTCTCTCTCTGTCTCTCTGTCTCTCTCTGTCTCTCTCTGTCTCTCTCTCTCTTCCTTTTGTTAGAGGAAGTATTGAAAGCAAACTTTCATTGGAGAAATCAAAGCTTAGAGGGGCTACAACCCCCTTTCTCTGGTTAATGTCTCAGTGTCCCACCCCCCTTCCACCTCACACACAGAACCAGTCTTGGAAATAGCTTGTGGACAGAACCCAGAAGTTTAAGTGACCGGTCCTCTTTAGTTTCAGTATCCTACTATCTACTGGTGGCATTTCTCATTAGTGCTTTAAGATGGACAGTGTTTTATATACATAATGTTGTTTGAGGTAGGAGCTATTATTAACACTTTTTTTTTCAGTTGAGGAAACTGAGACTTAGAAACCTTAAGTGTCTTGCCCAGAAGTAGAATAGTGCGTAAAGAGAGGCCCCCTGTTGTTCAGTCATATGGACTCTTTGTGACTTCGCTTGGGGTTTTCTAGGCAAAGATACTGGATCCGTTTGCCATTTCCTTTTACAGATGAGGAAACTGAGGCAAACAGGGGGAAGTGACTTGCCCAGGGTCACACAACAAGTAAGTGTCTGAGGCCAGATTTGAACTCATTAAGATGAGTCTTCCTAATTCCAAACCCAGTGCTGTATCCACTGGACCACCTAGCTGCCCTAAAGTGAGGGCCAGAACGGCTAATTAACTTGCCTAGAGTCACATAGCTAGTAAAGTGAGATTCAAACTCAGGTCTTCCTAATTTCAAGTGTAACAGTCTGTCCACTACATCACTTACCTCTTAATCATTATCAAGGTTTGGGGGAGGGGGTTAGTATTTCATGAAAGAGGCGAGGAATGGTGAAAGCTCTGTGAATTGGCTTCCTCTAGGAAGCCTTCCCTAATAAAATCTATTAGGCTGTGAGTGAATGAATGAATGGATGGATGGATGGATGGATGGATGGATGGATGGATGAATGAATGAATGAAAAAGTACTTGTTAGGCCCTTACCATGTAGAAAGCACTGGAGTTACAAATAGAAAAGTAAAAAAGTCATCTCTCTCAAGGAACTCATATCCTACTAGAGGAAATAGCACCTTATTTGCTTTGTGTCCCCCTCAGTATGTATACTCACATTCACTCATTCTACAAATTGTGCTCATTGCACACTGTGTTAATGTACCTCTGCAGGTCTGTTTCTTGGTACCTGTTCTTTAAGCCCCTCAAGAGCAGAGACCATTTCTTATCTTTCGTTGGTATTTCTCCCCCAGTGCCCAGGAAGGTGCCCACAGGTTGGGATATTATAGGCTGACTGACCGGTGAGGGTGATGGTGGATTTGTCCCTGTCTAATGTGTGAGGCAGAGAGGCACAAAACGACACGGCACCTGAAGGCTTGGCATGGTGAGGGGGTTCCTGGCAGCTTGTATTGGGTGACTGTCTGACAAGCAGAGTTGACAGTTAATGCTTTGGACCTGTCATAGGGTGAGGGTGTATTTACTGTGGCAGAGGCCGATGTTGGCACATCTCTCCACTGAGGGTATTCACCCGTGTCCAAACATGGTTTTAATTCTCCTGCTAAATGCCCTGTCACTTAGAATCGGGAATGTGTCTGAAACGATGCCCTGGGCGGTGCGATTAATTCATCAGCTGGAATCTTTGGCAAGATCTGGTTCATCCTTTTTGGTCATCCTGGTTATGCTTCCTGCGCTGCTAATTTCTCTGCCAGTTCCCCAATTAGTCGTAGATTAATAGTGTTTCTATTCAGGGCCTTTGCTCTCGGGAAAGATTCCAGCCTCTGCTTTCCTGGAGCTGCCCAATGTGCTGTGTCAGCAGTTAATATTCACGCAGTAAAGGTGGTGCTAGGAATATCTAGCAGGGTGCCCGCGCATTTATACATGTGGGTGATGGACTGGATCTGCCAGGGATGCTCTGCTGTGTGGGTTAGTTAGCCTGGAAGAATATCAGCTTACACTCACATAACATTTTGCAATTTCCAAAGCATTCTATTGAAAAGTTAACATTTCTATGGTGCTTTCAAGTTTGCAAAATTCTTTTCACTCCTGCAGTAGTATAGCTATTATTACAGATGAGGAAACTGAAGCCACTGTTAGGCAGCTGGGTGGCACAGTAGATAGAACATTAGTCTCAAATTCAGGAAGACCTGAGTTCAAATCCAGCCTCAGACATTCACTAGCTGTGTGACCCTGGGCAAGTCACTTAATCTGTCTGTGTGCCTCAGTTCCCTCATTCATAAAATGGGGATAATAGTGCATCTACCTCCCAGGCTTGTTGTGAGGGTTAAGTGAGATAATACATGCAAGACATCTTGAAAGCTTTCAATAAATGCCAGCTATTATTTTTATTACTATGGCTTTGCAAGACTACCTCTCATTCAATGCTAGCCATGCACCATGTTTGGGTTGGCATGTGAAAAAAGGCATTTTTCTCTGAGACTGGCTTGCCTTGTTGAGATGTTGGGATGCACGTGGATTTAGTACTGAAGCCTTCCATGTCAGGAATTTCCTTGGAGGAAGAAGCAAGTACAGTAGAGACAAAGTGTATGCATATAGGATGTCATGGTCCTGGGTCCACTGACTGCCAAGTTTCCATAGTCCGTAACATGGGCATGCTCCCAAGGAATAGAGAAGATGGCATCAAGATCTTGTGAGATAAAGTCCTCACCACCCAGCCATTTGATACATTCCTTACCTGAGACTGAAAAGAGTGGTCAATATAGCGCAGCCCAGTGCACCCAGGGATATATACAGCTCAGGGGAACCTCAATCCAGACACAGAGAGAAATCTACTGAAGGAAATAGACTCCTCAGACCTTTGCTGCTTTGCCACAATGAGGTCTCACCTAGCTCCCACTGCCCAAACTATCGGGCAGCCAATTCTACCATCAAGGTGTCAGGGCCAGTCTGGGGATAAACCAGCCCAGAAGTTTAGCCTGCCTTTTTATTTATAAGCAGCCTCCACAAAGCCTCAGACTGTGAGTGAGCCTGATGGTGCCCTTGGACGGGCTTTTGGCTGCAACTCTTGCCTTCCTAATTCTACAACTCTACTGCTTTATCTCTCTGGCCAAGTAACCCAAGGGAGCAAGATAGTAATGGTGAGCAGAAGAAAGCTTCAATGAGTTCTAGGAAGATCAGGGAAGCAAATGAATCTCTGAGGGTGGGGTTGCCGGTCCATCTTGACCTTTTTTGCCAAGCATGCTCTCTATCTCGTTTCACCTTTGCCTCACTTACCTGAACTCCCTGATGCCTCTCCTCTCTCCATGCAGGTGCTTACCTCGTGCCCTACCTGGTGCTGCTGATCATCATTGGGATCCCACTCTTCTTCTTAGAACTGGCTGTGGGCCAGAGGATACGCAGGGGCAGCATTGGAGTGTGGCACTATGTGTGCCCTCGGCTGGGGGGCATTGGCTTCTCCAGTTGCATTGTGAGTTGGGGGAAGGAGGGATGAGGAGAAGAAAGATGAAAGAGAATGATGAGGATGAATGGGAAGGGAGGAGAAAGTGATCAAGGCTATCTCCTGAGCCCAGAAGGAAAAAGAGCAGTTCTTGGAGGTCACAGAGGTTCCATCAAGATTCTGTGCCAGAAGGACTGATAGTTGAATAAAAGATTGAGTCTAGGTGGTTGATGTCCCTAGTGACCACTCAGCTAGATTTTTTTTTTAGGCAATTGGGGTTAAGTGACTTGCCCAGGGTCACACAGCTAGTAAGTGTCAAGTGTTTGGCCTGAGGCCACATTTGAACTCAGGTCCTCCTGACTTCAGGGCTGGTGCTCTATCCACTGCACCACCTAGCTGTCTCTCAGCTAGATTTTTCTGCCCCATCCCAAAAAACTGACTTTTATTTTCTAGGAATCTAAAGAAACGCTCCCTATCTGGCTCATCGTTTCATTACCTCCCTTGTGTAAAAAAGAAATCTGTTGTTTTTACTTGGAGGAGTGGGCAAAAATGGAGAGGCCTGATTAGTCATTCAGCCCCCAAGGTTCATCAGTCATCTGCACATGAGCTGAGAACTGGAGGTATCCTTCATGTGGATTGCAGCCTAGTGGGTGGCTCAGAATAGTTCTTTGAAACAGAGACAGGGAGTTCTGATCAAGAGGGACTATGTGGTGTGGACAAAATTACAAGAATCATGCTGGCTATCGATTAATCAACCAACAAGCATTTAATAATTACTAATTATGTACCAGACACTGTGCTAAGGACTAGGGATACAAAGAAAAAGAAAGAATCTTTGACCCCAACAAGCTTCCATTCTGGGGAGATACCAACATAAACAGATACATACAAGATGTGAACGGAATAGATGCAGGGTAACCTTAATAGGGAAAGAGTGAGCTGAGACAAGAACTGGGAAAGGACTTCCACAGAAGGTGGGATATGAACCGAGTCTTAAAGGAAGCCAGAGGAACCAGAAGGAGGGATTGAGGAGGGAGAGGATTCCAGGCATGGGAGCAGCCATGACAAGCACACCAAGTTGGGAGACAGAGTCATGTCATGCTGGAGGAACAGCAAAGAGACCAGCTTGGCTGGATTATAGAGTATGCAAAGGAAAGGAAAGTGTGAGGAGACTGTAAGGATAGGAGGGGGTTACATAGATTATAAAGGGTTTTAATGCCTAACAGAGGATTTCAGATTTGATCACAGAAGTACTAGGGAACCTCTGGAGTTTCTTGGACATTGGGAAGACATGGTCAGGCTTGTACTTTAGACAAATGCCTTTGGTAGCTGAGTGGAGGATGGATTGAACGGGGGACCCAGAAGGCTATTGCAATCATTCAGATGAGAGATGATGGGGGTTTGTGCAAAGGTAGTGACTGTGTGAGTGAGGAAAAGGTGACATATCTGAGATTTGCTATGAAGGTAAAAGCTATAAGATTTGACAGCAGATTGGATATGAGATGAGTGCAGGAGTAAGGAGTCAAGGATAAGACAGAGGTTATACACTTGAGTAACAGGGAGGATAGGGGCAGCTAGGTGGTGCAGTGAATAGAGTATCTAGCCTGAAGCCAGGAAGACCTGATTTCAAATCCTGCCTCAGATACTCACTAGCTATGTGACTCTAAGCAAATCACTTAATTTGCCTCAGTTTCCTCACCTGTATAATGAGCTGGAGAAGGAAATGGCAAACCACTTCAGTGTCTCTGCCAAGAAAACCCCAGATGAGGTCACAAAGAGTCAGACAAGACTGAACAACAACAAAACAGTGATGCCTTTGATGGTAGCAGGCAACTTGGGAAGACAGAAGGATTTGGGGGCAAAGACAATGAGTTCTGTTGAACATGTTGAGTTTGAGATACCTCTGGGACTTCCAATTCAAAATATCCAAGAGTCAGTTAGTGATTCAAGACTAGAGTGGAGAGAAATTAGGACTGGATATATAGATCTGCATAGAGATGCTAGTTAAACCCATGGGAGTGGATAAAGTCACCAAGCAAGACAATGTAGAGGGAATAGAGAAGAGGATCCAGCACAGAACTTTGGGAGATAGCCACAGTTAGTGTGTGTGACCTGCACGAAAATCCCGCAAAGGAGATAGAGAAGGAGTGGTCAGACAGGTAGGGACAGAATCAGGAGATGGTAATTTCATGAAAACCTAGAGAGGAGACAGCATCCAGAAGGAGATGGTCAACAGTGTCAGATGCTGCAGAGAGGTGGAAAAGGATGAAGGCTGAGAGAAGGCCATCAGACTTGGCAGTTATGAGATTATTGGCAACTTTGGGGAGAGCAATTTTAGTTGAGTTGAGTACGAGCCACAGCTATCCTCTTGAAGGTATGGTAGGTTCTTGTGAGGGTTTTTTTAAGGATGGGGGTGAGGGGGTTGTAGGCATATTTTTAGGCAGGAAGAAAGAAATCAGTATCTCTTGATTGATGATTAGAGAGAAAAGGGACAATTGTGGGAGCAATCTGCTAGAGAAAAGGGTAGGAGATGGAATCAAGAGAAAAGGCAGGGGGCTTGGCCTTGACAAAGACCAGAATAAAGGAGGAAAAAATGGGGGTTTATGTAAAAGGATTTTTGAGGTGTTAGAGGAGAAAAGAAGGAGCTCATGGCATCTGGGCTTGATTTTCTCAATAAAATATGAGGTGAGGTAATCAGCTGACAGGATGGGTAAAGGAGGAGGTATGAGAGATGAGAAAAGACAAGATTCAGACCAGCTTCTGTGGGGAGTGAGACAGGGAATCAATTAGGGAGGAGTAAAAGAGTTACCTTGCTGATGTAAAAATCCAGTGGAGATTAGATAAAATAAATTCATTGAGGACTCCAGATTCCTTGCTTTTTGTATAAGGCTTGAGCACTTAGGCAAGCCTTTTGGGGCCTCAGTTTACTCAGCTGTGAAATAGGGATAATATTGCTGTCACTGAAAGATCCACCAAGGATATTGCAGGTGGTATTGAAAAGGTCAGATCTGGTAACAGTTCGGGGACGGTGTCACTAGCTATAGTAATCTCAACCTGAGTTCTCTGGGCAGTCTCAGAGAGAGGCAGCTTCTGTCTTTACAGGGCTCTCTGTCCATCTGTTTTTTCCAGGTCTGCATCTTTGTTGGGTTGTACTACAATGTGATCATTGCCTGGAGTATATTTTATTTCTTCAAATCCTTCCAGTATCCATTGCCCTGGAGTGAGTGCCCCGTCATTAGGAATGGAACTACTGTAGGTGAGTCTCTGGGAGCCTAGGCTGAGAGGCATGGAGATAAAAGCCACAGCACCATTGGTACTCTGACCCTGGCCTGGCATCACCTGCCTACCAACCACAACTAGGATTTAGTTTAGAATAGATCTTTGTAGCTTATTGTCTGGGAAAGGGGGCCTTTCTTGACTAAAAAAATTTCAAAATAGCAAGAGTTCCTTTAAACTAAGGGAACAGGTTAGAGATTTGAAACAGTGAGTCTCATCCCACCTGTACAATTAGATCAAAATGCCACCTTCATCAAGTCACCTAACTTCTCTGAGACTCAGTTGTCCTGTCTATGAAATGGAGAGGAAATCAGTGATAAACTCAATGGGAAGACAAAGGGGAAAAGGCAATATTAGCTAATAGAAATTATTATTATAACAATCTACTACCTCTGGCTAATGTCACCTTAATATCTCTGATCCCTTTTAGTCCTTTGAGCAAGTGATCAGGATTCCCATTGCCATTTTAGGGATAGGACTAGGATTGGGACCTTCAATTTCTATTTTCAGGTAAAGAAACTCCCTCCATCAATGCAGGTGGGCACTTCTGTACACCTTATAGTCTTAGACAGTTTGCCCAAAGCACTAAGGAGTTAAATGACTTACTAGCCCATAGTCCCACAGTCAGTATGTGGCAGAGGTCTGCCAGATACCACACTGCCACCCCTTTTTGCAATAGAGGAAAAATCAGAAGGAAAAGGTGATTTAATAGCTAATTGCTAACATCTATATATAGTGCCTACTATGTTTTAGACACTGTGCAAAGCAATTTACCATTATTATCTCATTTGATCCTCACAACAACCCTGTAAGGTATGAGACTATTATGATCCTCATTTTACAGATGAGGAAAATGAGGCAAACAGAGGTTAAGTGACTTGCCCAAAGTCATTCGGCTAGTAAGTGTCCAAGGCCAAATTTGAACTCAGGTCTTCCTAACTGCAAGTCCAACTCTCTATCCACTGCTCCACCTAGCTGCCCCTCCCCCTTTCTCCTGCTTTGTCCAAGGTCGTTATAGCATCATAGATTTAGAGCTGGAAAGGACCTTTGGGGCCATCTCATCTAACCTTTTACTTTATTGATGAGGAAACTGAGGCCCAGAAAGTTTAATTGATTTGCCCAAGGGCACACGTGTAGTAGCAGAAATGCACTTTGAACCCAGGTCCACTGGCTCCAAATCTGTTGTTGTTCAGTCCTTTCAGTCGTGTTCTACTCTTCATGACCCCATTTGGGGCTTTCTTGGTAAAGATACTGGAGTGGTTTGCCATTTCCTTCTCCAGCCCATTTGACAGATGGAGAACATGAGGCAAACAAGGTTAAGTGACTTGTCCAGGGTCACACAGCTGACGAGTGTCTGAGGTCAAATTGGAACTTGTGAAGGGGAGTCTTTCTGACTCCAGGCTGGGCACTGTGTGCACAATGGCGCCATCTAGTCGCCCTCAGACTTTAAATCTACTACTTTTTAAATTTCATCCTCCTGCCTCCCAGAAGGATACAATCTGGTTAGCAGAAGAGCTGAGGTGGGAAGCTGAGCCTTCTAATTTGGGCTTGCCTCATGATTTTAATGTCAAGAAGGTGATGTGTGGCAAGAATTTTCTGCTCTCTAGGATCTACTGGGAACCCAGGAGTGCCCAGTGCCCAGCGTATCTTGTAACTATGACAACTTGGTTTACTCTGAATGAGATCGGGACCTTTTCTCTCTCTGCAACCTAATGGGTTGGAAGGAAACCCTTTGTCCCACCCCACAGGGTGATATTGGGTGGGTGGGCCACTGCAGCATCCTTGCTCATGCTACTCAGCCCTGACGTGCCATGGCTTTGATCATTTGTTTCAGTGGTGGAGGAAGAGTGTGATAAGAGTTCAGCTACCACCTACTTCTGGTACCGAGAGGCTCTGGACATCTCCAACTCCATCTCAGAGAGTGGAGGGCTCAACTGGAAGATGACTCTCAGCCTCCTTGTGGCTTGGAGCATTGTGGGTATGGCTGTGGTCAAGGGCATTCAGTCTTCAGGAAAGGTACGTAGCAGAGGGCTGAAGAGGTGGGAAGGGTTAAGGGACAGTAGGTATCAGGGGGCAAGAGCACCAACCAGGAATTGATAAGGTCTGGGTTCTGAATTTGTACTAGTTCACTATAAGCTTTTACCTAAGCCTTTTGGGGATCCTCAGTTTCCCCATCTGTGAAGTGGGGATAATAATATTACACTACCTGCCTCACAGGGTTGTCGTGAATCAAAAACATACACATTCAAGTAACATAGAATCATGAGTTATTATTCTTTTTAATGGGTCCACAATGAACAATTCCATGGCCAAAAAGGTTGCCTGATGGGGGGAGGAGTCACCAAAACTTGGATGAACAACATCTATTCCTTGACTTTGTAAATAGTTGTTGACGGCTCCTTGTTGAATTAGTGGTCAGAGGTCAATTGGGTTTGATGGGGTGGGTGGGCAAAGAGAGAGGGATCCCCCCGGGGTTACTCTTGTTGCAAAAGTGTTTTTCTAAGGATCCTAAGCCAGGGGCTGGCTGACAGGCAAGCTTGCTGAGAAAACTCCCAGTACTGCCCTTTAGGTACCTGAGAGCTAGAAGCTCAGAATTACCCACACGCAATCCCAGAGCTGGATGAGGCCCCAGAGGCCTCCTAGTCCAACCTGTACCTCCACAGGAAGGTCCTCCACCGTATTTTTAACAAATGGTCAACCAGCTTTCATGTAAAGACCTTTTGGGAGGGGGAAACACCTCTCCCTCCCCAGGCAGCTCATTCTACTTTGTTTTGTGAGTTTTCCCTTACATATGCTCCCTGCAACGTCCACCCACTATTCCTAGCTCTGCCCTCTGGGGTCAAGCAGGACAAATCTGTTCCCTCCCTCTTCCGTATGACAGCCCTATCCTAAAAATGATAATTAAGATGGAATAAAAGTAGATAAGGGGTGTTAGAGACTTTATTGAGCTGATGTGTCTTCCTAAGCAAAATGATTAACCCTGTGATCTAAGGTTAGATTCTTTGCCTTCAAACTCCCAAACAAAAAATTTAGAAAGGCCTCCCCTGCCCTACTTGGCTAGTTACGGAATCAGCAGATCTTGCCTAACCAAGCTTTAGCTGAGGTGGGACTTGTAAATGCATGCTGATGAAACCTTAGAGGGCTCTAGCTTTCTGTAAAACACAAGTACATTTGAATGTATTTAACACTCCATTTTCCTTAGAGCCCAGGCCCTCTTTAAATAGAGCTAAACCCTCTAACTTGCTAAATATAATTGCAAACATTTATACAGCAGTTTAAGGCATATAAAGCATTTTAGTTATAATCACATTCAAACCTCACAACAACTTTGTGGGGGAGGGGAGAGAGACTAATTCATTATGCCCATTTTTACAGATGAGCAAACTGAGACTGAGAAAGGTTGAGTTTCTAGGTTCACACATCTAGTGTCTGAGGAAGGATGTGAACCCAGGTCTTCCTGAACACCAAGTCCAGGACTTTATTCACCAAACCACCTAATTGCCTCATATGAGATACCCAGTATGTTGAACATTAAACAAAGGGCATGGGGAACAGGAGGGAGGGAAAGGAAACAAAGTGTGGTGGGCACAATTATCATCCTTGGGAAGCCCTAGTGGACCCCAGGTGAAGCATTTAACCAAGTCATTGCTTTATAATCTGCCTGGAGTCCACAAACCCTAAGGAGAGAGCCAGTTCCTTGACACTGCCCATGCTCACATGAAACCTCTATCACTTCAGCCCTCGGGAACTTTATAAGGCACGCCAACCAAAGCTGGGAGTGGAGGATGGGCATAGCTGGTATATACTGGGCATGGGCAATATACCTGGGCACTATGCCAAGGAGCTTTGATGCCCCAGGGAGGTGCCCAGTATAGACATCAGAGGGGGAGTCCTGTCTTTATGAAGCAGTCCTGTTCTCTCCTATCAGCCTGGGCAGCAGGTGGGAGGATTACAGGATCGTAAGGTTTTGAGCCATAAGGGATGAAGGGCAGATGCCAGCAGGCACACACAGTCCTGATCCTAGGGCATTTCCTTGTCTTCTCTCCAGGTGATGTATTTCAGCTCCCTTTTCCCCTACGTGGTGCTAGCCTGCTTCCTGGTCCGGGGGCTGCTGCTACGGGGAGCTGTGGATGGGATCCTGCACATGTTTACTCCCAAGGTAAAGCCTAGGATTCTTCCATGGCAGTCACACACCTGGTGACATGTATCATTGTGCACACCTGTGGCAAGAGAAACTCATCACTTACCTTACAACCAGGAAGCTCTCAAAAGAAAATCCCCTCCAGGAATTTGCAGAACAATCTTCTAACTGGATGGTTACTTCAGTAAGACTAATAACTAGGGGTGTGCTGGTAAATATGTAGCAAGCAGCACCCCCCCCCCCAAAAAAATCTAAGCAAGACATGATTTTGAGTTTAACCTGCATTTTAACATTTCCTCCATCACTTTCTTAGGTCTAGTCTAGACAATCTACAACAAAAACAACAACAACAACAAAAAAAATAAAGCCTTGATTTGTAGCATTTGCTGATTCCCAATGCTCAGACTGAGAATTTAACTCCAACACACCTCGGTAATAACTCCTACGTATAAAGGAGGTGTTTTTCACTTTGCAAAGCACTTTTGCATTTCTTACGTCATTTGATCCTTACAACTACCCTGTGAGAGAGGCAGGGCAAAGGATGATTATTACCGGTTTAACAAAGGAGGAAACTGAAGTTTGGTTAAGTGACTTGTCACACAGCTAGTGAAGGGCAGAATCCTTCCCTCTACTTACCGCTAGTTAAACGTCTTCCCTTCTGTTGTCCCAGAGCTCACAGCTTTCAGAAAGCTAAGAATCAAAAGCCACAGACTTAAAGAATCTCAAAAGCTTGGAACTGGGAGGGACTTTCAAGGTCATCCAGTCCAGCCTGGATCTGAACTGAAATCTGTTCTGATGGGCACTCGTCTCTTCTCAACTTAAAGACCTCCAGTAACTAGGAATAATAATAACAACAACAATAAACATTTTATAGCACCTACTATGTGCCAGGCACTATGTTAAGTACTTTATAATTATTATCTCATTTGATCTTCACAACTGTGAAGTAAGTACTATTATTATCCCCATTTTACAGATGGGGAAACTGAGGCAAACAAGGTTTGCCAAAGGTCTTGAAGCTAGAAAGTATCTAAAGTTTGATTTAAACTTAGGTTTCCTGGACTTCAGTCCCACTACTCAACCCACTACATCACCTAAGCTACCTTAATAATAAGTTTGTTCAAGCTCTTATCCCCATTCAGCCTTCTTATTCTGATGGCAGCTTGCTAGCCATGACTTCTCTCTCTTTTTCCACATTGTTATGGATACTAGCACCAATGAGACAATGAACATGCTGGGCAGGTGTTTTACTAATACTATTTATTAATTACTATTATATAATTATATTATAGATAATTAAATACTATTAACTACTAATTAACATTAATAACAATGTAGTTGCCAAGTTGTGGGGATTAAATGAGATAAGGGTGAAAGGCTATAACACTAGAAGTATGTGAAGGATTGGGGTAATTATATGGTGGGGATGGAACCTGTTGGTCAGGGACCACCCCTCACTGGGAAGGATATGATGGAAGAAGTGGGGGAGGGTGCCTGATTTCCTTGGTTCTGTTCCTCAATCTTCTGTCCCCATGCCCCCACAAGGGAATAATGAATGAGACTTGGGGGTTTCCCAGGTCTGCATGAGGAGTCAGGGGACAGGTTAGACCAGCAAAGGGAGGTGGTGCTTTGGATTGGGGTGGAAGAGGGCTGAAGACAGGAAAGGCTGGGTTCCCTGTCATTATATCAGAGCCTTTTGATGAAGCTGGGGGAGGGAGGAACAGAAACAAAATAATTAACCATTGTCTTCCCTCCCCTTTTCTTCCTTCCCTTCTTCCCTTTCCTTCTCTCTCTCTCCCTCCTTCCTTTCCCCTACTCCCTATCTTCTGCCACCCAACAGCTAGACAAGATGCTGGACCCCCAGGTGTGGCGGGAGGCAGCCACCCAGGTCTTCTTTGCCTTGGGGTTGGGCTTTGGGGGTGTCATCGCCTTCTCCAGCTACAACAAACAGGATAACAACTGCCACTTTGATGCCGCCCTCGTGTCCTTCATCAACTTCTTCACCTCGGTGCTGGCCACCCTGGTCGTTTTTGCTGTGCTGGGCTTCAAGGCCAACATCATGAATGAGAAGTGTGTGGTCGAGTAGGTGACACTCCCCTTCTCCTCATAGCTTCCTCCTCTCCCATCTTCCCTTCCTTCCTTAGGGCAGGAAGCCTGGGACAGTCACCCTTACCCTCGGGCTATGGAAAGTAGAACAGAAGAACCCTGTTTTCCCCAGTCTCAGCTTACTAGGGAGGTCAGAGACCTTCCTGTACTTGGTCCTTTTTGGGGTGAGGCCTGAGTAAAATATATAAGGTAGAGTGTAAGGAAGCTGCCCTACCAGGGATACTGCCCCTAAATAACTCCCTCATTCCTCCTCCACTCTCTCCACTGTCAGGAATGCTGAGAAGATCCTTGGGTACCTGAACACCAATGTCCTGAGTCATGACCTCATCCCACCCCACGTCAACTTCTCCCATCTTACTGCCCATGACTACAGTGAGATGTACAAAGTCATCATGACTGTCAAGGAGGACCGATTCCAGGAGTTGGGCCTGGACCCTTGTCTTTTGGAAGATGAACTCAATAAGGTTTGGAGATAGGGTTGTCCCTTTGCAGGGAACAGAAGCAAAGATGAAAGGGTCCAGGGTCAGGGATAATAGATGTTTGGGATACAGGGGAAAGATTAGACAGGATCCTTGTCAATGGGGAACTCTATGACTAATCGATGAGGCAAGACAGGTATATCATCATTAATTCACTCAGCAAATATTCATAAAGCACCTACTCTGTGTTAGATGAGGAGTAGTGTAGCATATCTGATAGGAGATTGGCCTTGGAGTTTAGAAGACCTGAGTTAAAATGCTGCCTCTGACCTTTACTGGCTATGTGATGATGTACAATTCCCTTAACTTCTCAATGCCTCAGACAGCTGTTTAGGATCTCAGGCTGGAGATGTATTGCTTATCTGCCTCTCAGCCTTGATGGGAGTCATTTACACAGTATAAGTGCCTAGCGTTAATGAAATTAATTTCATTAATTCATTAATGTCCCCTGTCCCCTGACTCCTCATGGATACCTAGGAACCCCCAAGTTTCATTCATTATTCCCTTGTGGGGGCATGGGGACAGCAGATTGAGGAACAGAACCCAGGAAATTAGGGTCCAGATTTCAAAAAATGAATGTGCTAAGTACTCTGGAGAATGGAAAAGCTAGGTTCCTGCCCTTACTATCTTGTTGGGTAGAAAAAGTGGTCACACATGAAAAGTTAAATAGGTGTGTTGAGGGAAGATGCAAGAGGTGCTGAGAGATGTCCTATGATACATAAAGGGGAAGGGAATAAGCACTTATTGAGCACCTACTATATGCCAGGCACTGTGTTAAGTGCTTTACAAATATTATCTCATTTGATCCTTACAATGACCCTGGGAAGTAAGTGCTATCATGATCCCCATTTACAGTTGAGGAAACTGAGGCAGAAAGAGGTTAAGTGCCTTGTCCAGGGTCACATACTTTGTGTCTGAGGCAAGATTTGAACTCAGGTCTTCCTGATTCCAGGACTAGCACTCTATCGACCTTGCTTCTTAGCTATTTGACCATGAATATAGACAACAAAAGCTAGAGGTTCTGGGGAGGGAGAGCTTACAGTGGACTAAAGGGCTCAGGGATTGCTCCATGGAGGAAGGAGAACTTGAAATAGTCTTTAAGGATGGATAGGATTGGGATAGGCAGAGAGAAAAGAAGGGTAAAGCATTCTAAGTGGGAAGAATATGAGCAGAATGTGAATGACGTGTTAAGTGGATGGATCAGTTTGTCTGGAGAAAGAAAGGGTTCCTTATGAAGTGTATTGGGAAATGAATTTCTCTAGGGTTGAGGCAAGACTGGAGAAGGCATTGAATTCAAGACTATTTGGATGTTACTCCTCGGGCCGCCAATAGTCAGCCTTTGAAGCAGCGATTGAAAAGAAACATTGTAGAGAGAATAGTCGGACTGCATTGTGCCACATGGTTTGGAAAGGGTAAAGACCAGATCTGCAATTAGGTTCAAAAATTCAGTGACCTAAGTGCAGGATGATGAATCCTGGCTTGATAGTGGCTCCATTGGAAAAGGATCTGGAGGTTTTAGCTGACAAGCTCAATGTGGATTAGCAATATGTCCTGGAATATTACAGTTCCCTGTGATAATGAGACTACACCTGGAGTATTGGGTTCCATTTGAGAGACTATAGCTTTAGAGGGTCAGTAGAGGGCAGAGGGCACTTGGGAAATGCTTGTGTGATCCAGTTGAATCGTATTGATAAGGTAGAATCCATCCCAAGGAGGATGACCAGGATGTTGATGGAATCTTGAAACCCTATTTGAAACTGGCATGTAGTGGGGAGGGGGAAGACTGAGAGAGAGAGAGAGACAGGCAGGAAGACAGAGACAGACAGAGAAAGAAGGAGAGAGAGGCAGAAAGAGGCAGAGAGACACACACGTAGAAAGAGAGAATATGAATGCATTTGTTAAGCACTTACTGTGTACTGTGCTAAGCCTGGGGGTCATATATATTTATATAAGCAAGCAAGGTAGCATCTCCCCTCCTGGAACTTGCATTCTAACAGGGGAAAACTGCACAGAAAGGGGAGCTGGAAGGGGGAAGGGATAGGGATAGGGCATGGCTGTCTTCAATTTCTGAAGGACTATCACATGGCAGAGAGAGTAGATTTTTCAGAAGTGGGACCCAATGGGTCCAGGAAAGAAGATTTCAGCACAATGCAAGGAAGAACTTTGTAACAGTTAGAGCTGTCCAGGCATGGGTTGAGCTACCCTTTGAAATATCTTAGTCACTGAAAGTGCTCAAGCAAAGGACTGTCCTTCATGGATGTGGAAGGGCTTTGTGAACTGGGTGGGAGGTTGGCCTGATGAGCTCAAAGCCCTTTTTTCAGTCTAAGAGTCTATAATTCTGGGATTCCATGTGTGTGCAGTAAATGCCCATAGCTGTGTGGCTGAGGGCTTGGTAGCTGGTGGCCATTAGGGTGGTCTTGGTTGCTCACTTTATCCTGTTACATGCATACTGAATCTTGTACCTTCCTTCTCCTCCCCATCCCCTTGGACAGTCTGTGCAGGGGACAGGCCTGGCTTTTATTGCCTTCACCGAGGCCATGACCCACTTCCCAGCCTCTCCCTTCTGGTCTGTCATGTTCTTCCTTATGCTGATCAACCTGGGTCTGGGCAGCATGATCGGGACCATGGCTGGGATCACCACACCCATCATCGATACCTTCAAGGTGCCAAAGGAAATGTTCACAGGTAAATCCTTCCCTCCTCTTTTTTCAACCCTGTGTTCCTCCTCCTCAGGACACCCCTCCATGCCCCATCCTCTGTCCCCCTGCAGGAGGACAAAGGATGAACAGTTTCACTGTCAACAATGCCCAACTTCTTGATTTCAAGAATAGCTGCTGCTTTGCTCAGTTCATTTGTAGACAGATCACTTAGTCCCCAAGTACCCAGAACCTCCCAGCTGATGTAAGCTGGTGCCCTCAGGGAAACTTCTAGTCAGTCAGTCAATCAATACACATTTATTAAACTCTTGCTCTGTGCCAGGCACTGTGCTAAGTACTGAAGATACAAAGAAAGTGGGGAGTGGGTGGGGGGGTGGGAAGTGGTCTCTGGTTTCTAGGAGCTCAAAGTCTAATGGAGAAGACAACATGCAAACAACTATTTACAAACAAGATAAATTGGAAATAATAACAGAACAAAGGCTCTGTCAAGAGGGATTAAGAAAGGCTTCTTGTAGAAGGTGGGATTTTAGCAAGGACTTTAAAGAAGTCAGGGAGAGCAGGAGTTGGAAATGAGAAGGGAGAACGTTCTAGGCATGGGAAACCACCAGTGAAAATGCCAGGAGATGTAGCGTCCTTCAAAAGAAATATCAAAGAGACCAGAGTCACTGAATCCCAGAGGGGGAGGGTGTAAGGTATAAGAAAGCTAGAAAGGAGGATAGTTATGATGGTATTTGAACACCAAATAGAGGGGTGTATACTTGAACATGGAGGTGATAGGGAGCCACTGAAGGTTTTTGAGTAGAGGAGTGACTGGGTCAGTTAAGAAAATCACTGACAGTTTTAGTGGAGGATGGACTGGAGTAGAAGAGGCAAGGAAACCAACCAACAGGTTCTTGCAATAGTCCAGGCATGGGGTGATGATGAGGGTTTGTACCAGGGTGGTGGCAGTGTCAGAGGAGAGAAGGGAGTACATATGAGAAATATTGTGAAGACAGGACTGAGCAACGGATTGGATATGGTAGGTGAGAAAGTGAAGAGTTGAAGGTGACACCTATGTTGTGAACCTGGGCAACTGATTGCTAGCTGGGCTCTATCCTGATTTCCCCACCAGAACCTCGGTGTTTTGGTTGGCAAAGCTGGGGTGAGCTTGGTAATAGTGTCCTCTGGGAATCTGTGCCAACATTTTTCTTGGCAAGTAGGAAAGAAACTGCTGGTGAGGTCAAGGCTATGACAGGTGAGGTGGGGGAGATAGTAGGGCTCCATTGCCACTTTTCAAGGCCTTGTTTCTATGGGCAATGAACATGTTTCCCTCCCTTTCTGAGCCATCATGTAGACTGTAGGTATAGATGGAATAGAACTGGCAGAGCCTCAGCTCTGTCTGCATTCTACCATGAATAGCTGGTCCTTCCTGAGGCAGAACCTCAGTGAGTACTTGAGCTGGGAATCAGACCTCCTGGGTTCTTTTCCCATTTCCATCAAGAACTTCTGTGTTACCCTAGGAATGTCCTCCACCAACCCTTCAGTCCCACCCTAAGTTTGTATTAAGGACTTTTCCAGGCTAATGTTGGTACCCATACTCTTGCTTGGTACCTGGCAGAGCAAGTATGGCCACGGACCTGACATTGCCCATGGGGCTTCCTTGTCCTTTCCCAGACCTCAGTTTCATTGCATTCTTTGGGAGAGATATAGAGGGCATAAAGCCTTTGAACTGAAGGGTTCTGACTCCTGGTCCCAGGCTCTAACCCAGGATATTTCCCTACAAGACCACAAGTAGCGAGACAACAGATGAATGCTACCAACTGGCATCGGGAGTGCTTGTTGGTGGGTTCTCTTAGCTGGGAGTGAGAGGTGATGGGGAGAGGCAGCTGGGCTGCCTCCTTCTCTGTGGGAGCCTCCACGATCTTAAGGGCTCTGAAATCTCTGTTCTCTTTGCAGTTGGGTGCTGCATCGTTGCATTTCTTGTGGGACTCCTGTTTGTCCAGCGCTCTGGGAACTACTTTGTCACCATGTTTGATGACTACTCAGCTACTCTGCCCCTCACTGTCATTGTCATCCTAGAGAACATCGCTGTATCCTGGATTTACGGGACCAAGAAGTAAGGTTCTGACTTGGGTGGGGAGGGATGTTGGGGATGGGCAGAGAATGTCTTCCAAGGGTGGGAAGCCTGGGAGAGGGAAGATTTCTCCTTAGAGGTCCTGGTCCCTGCCCTGGAAATTACTGGAGAGGTATGGAGGGTCTTTCATTCTCAGAACCAATTGCTGGTGGGCTGGTAACTCACTGACCCCTTCCTTCTGGTGCCACTCAGTTCCCTGCTTCATTTTTAGCAATAGAAGTAAGGTTATGGAACTCAGTAGATTTTTCAAGCACCTATGGTTTACTGAGCCCATGTACTTAAAGAAGGATGTAAGCTAGAGTGGATGCTTGCACTGTCCTTCAGGACAGGATGCCTAGCCAAAGAGAGGAGGCCTAGCTAAAACAACCAGAGAATAGATCAGAGAGCAAACTCGGTGCTCTGGAAAGAACACTAGTTCAGTTCAAGTTCTGCCTCTGACGTTTAGTACCTCTGACCCTTACCTACTGGACAAGTCATTTCACTAACTCTGCTTCCATTTCTTCATCTGTAAAATAAGGGGCTTATACTAGATTCCTTCCAATGCCCCTTCTAGCTCTAGCTGTATGATCTATAAGCCATACTTGGAGCCCATCACAGCCCTGAATGCAGAGGAAATTAAGATAGAGCCAAGGAAGGGCTGGGCCTCTGATCCTGCATCTGGGATAGGGAGATAGCTCTGACTTAAAAGCGCTGGACTTGAATCCTGGCTTTCATACTAACTAGCTGCATGGCACTGGGCAAGTCATTTAGCCTCTCTCAGCCTCCATTTCTTCATCTGTAAACTAGGGTTAATATAAGCACCTACCTCAAAGAGTTATTGTAAGAATCAAATGAGAGAATTTACATAAAACATTTCACAAACCTTAAAACCCTTGCCCTTTATAAATGTTCATCAGAACTGTCTCTTCTCCGTGGCTAACCTGTTCCTCCAGTCTTCCAATTGACCTCCTAGTTCCCTAATTGTTATTCTGATTTGCTGCTCTAGAGAAAAACACCTTTTCCTTGCTCTCTGTTGTCTTCTAATCCCTTTCTAATTTAACCCTCACACTCCCTAGTTCCTCTCCATCTCCCCCTCATTCTGTTGTTGTTCAGTTGTTTCAGTCATGTCTGACTCTCCTTGACCCCATTTGGGGTTTTCTTGGCAGAGGTACTGGAGTGGTTTGCCATTTTCTTCTGCAGTTCATTTTACAGATGAAGAAACTGAGGCAAACAGGTTGAAGTGACTTGCCCAGGATCACCCAGATAGTAAATGTCTGAAGCAAGATTTGAACTCAGGAAGACAGTCTTCCTGACTCCAGGCCCAATGCTCTGTCCACTGCACCCCATCTCCATTCTAATCCCCCTCTAATTTAACCCTAACACTCCCTAGTTCCTCTCCCTCTCTTTCTCCCTCTCTTTTCTACTGGAATACTGGAGTTTAGGGATTTAGGGTATTGGAAACCAGTCCTTTCCTCATGTATTCCGTTCCAACCACACAGTCTCCCTCTTCAAACTAATGAAAACCTGACTTTCTCTCAGGGATGCTACATCCCTGGAAGGCCTGTCCATTGGTGGCCAGCCCTCCTTCAAATCCTTCTGCCCTCCTCACAGGGCCAAAAGGAAGAGCCAGAATGATCTTTGCTTCCCATCACCCCCCTTCCAAACCATTGTCCTGATGAAATTGCCCAGTATTTTTTTTCTGCTCAGAAGTTCATGCCATGAGGTTATACCACTTTCTCCACATCCTGCTTACAATCTTCTACCACCCCTCCCTCGGCCATGAGGGGCCAAAAGCAGAATAGAGTGGAATCCTTCCTCTATGGCTATCTGAATGACCCCTGAATAATCTAGATTTAAATCTCATCAATGTGGGACCATCTTCCAGTGGTGCCTATTCCCTGCCATTTACACTTCCTCATGCTTCATTCATATTCCTCCATAAATCTTCCATTGCATGACCATCCCACATATTAGAGGCCTTCCTCTTGATATTTTGGCATTACTACAGTAGGCATGGGCAGCTAGGTGGAGCAGTGGATACAGCACTGGGCCTGGAGCATTAAGACTCATCTTCCTGAATTCAAATCTGACTTCAGACACTTAGCTGTGTGACCCTGGGTAAGTCATTGCCTCAGTTTCCTCATCTGTAAAGTGAGCTGGAGAAGGAAATGGCAAATCACTCCAGTATCTTTGCCAAGAAAACCCCCAAATGGGGTCACAAAGAGTCAGACGTGACTGAAAAACAACTGAATAACTGAAAGGGTAGGTATTGCTATGTAGGCAGGCCAAGTGCAGTGGAGCACTCGGTTTGTCTAGCTGTTACCCCGAGCCCTCCCTAAAATGAGTAGTTCACCTCCTTTTCTGGTCATAAATCCCATAAGATCATAAATTTAGAGCTGGAAGGGCTCTTAGACTCTATCTAATCCAACTCACTCATTTTACAGATAAGGAAACTGAGGCCCAGGGAGGCAAAGTAATTTGCCCAAAGTCACATTGATACTAAGTGGTAGAGCCAGGATTAGAACCCAGGTTGCCAGACTTTAAGTCTCATTCCATTACATCTTGCTTTCTTGCTCTTGAGTGATGGCGTTTACACCCCTCCTCATGCACATGTCTTCATTGGTAATTTTGCAGCCCATTTACATCCACCATATATCTCTCTATTGCTCTTTGGGTCACCCATGATTTTGCTTCTTCAGAGATTGCAGTGTTCCATGATTAACAACTCTACAGGATCATTAAAAGAACAAGATAAGGATAGAAAGTGGATTCTAAGGATAGAGTGGATTTCATTGGTATAGGGAATGAAGAAGCGCCCTCTGCTGATAAAGACTAGTACCTTCCCTTCAACTTCTAGTCTTACAGAGTAGACTGGGGCACTGAGAAGTTAAGTATCTTGCCCAGAGTCACACAGCCAAGAGGAAAGACTTGAATCCAGGTCTTCAGTACTCCAAAGTCAGATCTCTAGTCACTCCACCATGCTAATGCTGGAAGAATATTCATGTTTTAAAAGATGGGTTATTATTTCACGAAGCAGCTTGGGATCAAAATAAGGGATGTGCTATTTCCCAAATGCTATAGTCTGCTTTCTTCCTCCCACTCAATTCCTGGCCCAGTTCTGTGTAGTCTCTGTCCAAGATGCTGATAGAATCAGCTCAATGGAATCCCTATCATAGTCCAATCAGATGTTAATAAAGAAATTATTGAGGTGTTGGCTATGGAAATATTGAGCAAGGAATGAACACAAGAGCTATTGTGGAAGTTGTAACTGATTAGACATGAGAGGTGAAAGAAGAAGAAAGAATAAAAGATATTTACATTTTGAACACGGGATATTGAGTGACAGTAGTGCCACTGATAGAAATAGTGAAGTTATATAGAGGAGTAGATTTAGGAGAATAAATGGTAAATTTGGTTTTGGACACATTGTATTTGATATGCTTAAGACGTCCAGGTAGAAATGTCTTATGAGCAATTAGATATCTGAGTCTGGAGCTTGGAAGAGAAGTCAGGACTGGGGATTTACAGATTTCTGCATTGTGGTATGTAGTGAAGGGGAGAGGAAGAGGAAGAGTAATTCACTTAGCATCAGAAGAATCAGGTTTCTGTATTAACCCTAGCACTTAGGGACTTTATAATTTTGGGCAAGTAATGTAAATTCTGAATTTCAGTTGCTTCATCCCCAAATGGAAGAATATTTATACAACCTACCTTGCAGGGTTGTTGTGAGAGAAGCAATTTGTCATCCTCAAAGTGCTATTGAAAAGTTCTTGTTATTACATGGAGGAGATAGTTGAAGTCATGGAAATCCATGAGATTGGCAAGTATAGAGAACCTTGTCCACTCTCCTCAAATCCCCTGTTCGGAAGTCCTTTCTTATGCAGAATCTAAATTGTCCTCCTGGCAATTTCCATCTACTGGTGCCAAGCAGAACAGAGTGTAATCCTGCCTTCATATAACAGCCCCATAGATGAAAGAGCACTGGGCTTGGAGTACAGAGAAACCTGGGTTTGAATCCTGTCTCTGATGTTTACTATTTGTGTGACAATGGGTAAGTTATTTCATTTCTCTATCCAGTTTCCTCATCTATAAAATGGAGATAATAATAATAAAGGTTGAAAGAATCAAATGCATGTACCCTTCACAAATCTTTAGGTGTATTTAAATCTCAGATGTTGTTATTATCATTACTGGAAGGCAGCTATCACATCCTCCCACCCCCCACATCTTTTCTCCTCCAATCCTCATACAAGACATTCTGGTACTCCCACTATACTTGTAATCTGCTCTGTACCCCACTCTAGCTTGTCAATGTCCTTCCATATTTTAGAGTGCCTTCCTAAAATACAGTGCTACAAACTGAACATTTAAAGATAGGCCTCAGTTTATGGAAGAATACTACTTGAAGTAGTCAAATATTTATTAAGCACCTACTGTGTGCCAGGCACTGTGCTGGAGTCTGCCATTTAGGGTTGTTCTAAATAAGGAAAGCACTTTGTGAAACTTAGGGTGTTCTGTAAGTGTGAGATCAAGTCAGTGCACAGTAGTGGTCTCACTAGTTTAGGGTGCTACGGGACAATCCCCTTCCTTGTTCTAGACCCTAAATAATCTTTCGTATTTAAGGTTTACAAAACTCCTAATGACCTGCCTTGCCTGTGCGGTTCCATTCTACTCCAGGCACACTCTCTTGTCAAGTCTTGTTATTTCCCGTTGTAATATCTTTCAAATAAGCCCCCTTCTCTCCTCTGACACTGCCATTACCTTGATGCAAACCTCATCACCTCACCCCAGAACTATTACAATAGCCTGATGGCTGGTCTCCACGCCTTAAATCCCTCCCCATCACAGTACATCCCTCAAATAGCTGCCAAATTGATGTTCATAAAGCACAGGTTGCACCAGTTCTCTCTCTCTCTCTCTCTCTCTCTCTCTCTCTCTCTCTCTCTCTCTCTCTCTCTCACACACACACACACACACACACACACACACACACACACACACCA